CGACCACCTGTCGTCGAAGCGCATTGTATGCTGAATGATTTACTAGACGCCATCTTTTTCTCGGAGGGACAATATGCGGCTGTTTGAGGGGCTGGTTCATTCTGATGGCCAGTGGGAGCATCACGATGAATTTGAAGATTGAGAACGGCATTCTGAGTCCTGATGCCCAAATTTTCGGCACCCCAAGCAATATGGTGGTACAAATTCATGGACTATCCTCTGCGTAAAACCTCCGTAAGAGCCATTATTGATCCAGACTTGTTCGACGAGAGGTAAACTTACGTTGAGCTCCACACACACCCTAGCTACCGACGGGCGGTTAGGTACTAAGGTGGAGGTGTCGACTTTAAGGGGGTTGCCCACCAGATTAGCAATCGAGTAAATGGCCCGCTTGTCGTGGAGATGAGCCGGCAAGCCTTCCAACGCTAGCCAAACAGGAATAATGGGAGACTCAACATCCGGGCGAAAATCTGGCGTCCAGCGAAAGACTCGCATGAGGGATCCCTTGATCGACCATGTCTTTCGAAGCCAGCAGCGCTGGAAATCGATCTCATGATCAAAGTTTATCAGAATGTGCCTCTGATCGATCAGGCCTAGAGTGAAGGCGCCACCAAAGCCAATTTGGTCAAAAGTCTTGCGAAGATCAGCCATCGGCGGGCGACTTTTTGCGAATTTGCCTACTAGTGCAAAACGAAACTTCTCAGAGAATTGTTGTACGTCGTCGTCTGAGAAGGAGACCGCGGGCATACCCTTATAACGCCTCGGCGGCCGGAGAGGCGAGGATTCAGATGATTTCGATAGAATATCAGCAAAAGTGCGGTGAGGGGGCGCGGCCCCCGGCGGTGCCGCCATCAGAAGCACGCAAAGACAAAGATTGTGTGTATTTAACTTCTGCGGGGCTTATAATAAATTTAAATTATATAAAAACGCTTAACGTTAGATAGAGTACTACTTGATTATTGTACATGTGCGATGCACGGATATGACTTATACAGTAATAAAAGTTTAGTAGTTTTTATATTAAATTTGATTTTCATAAAAGTAATCAATTGCAAAAATTTATACTATAGATCCATAATTTCTATACTATAGATCCATAATTTCTATACTGTAGATTCATAGTTTCTAAACTATAAATTCATAATTTCCATACTATAGATTCATAATTTCTATACTATAGATTCATAATTTCTATACTGTATAGTTATCAAATTATGAACATATAGTTCAGTGATTTGTGAATACAGAGTTCAACAATTGAGAATATAAATATTGAAAATTATGAACATAGAGTTCTGTAATTGTGAATATAGAGTTCAAAAATTATGAATTTATAATATAGAAATTATGAATCTATAATATAAAAAGTATGGATTTATAGTAGAAAAATTATGGATCCAATTCCGTATGTACCATGCATAATGCACACAGTTGCACAACATAATTTGCCTAAAACCACTATACAATTAAATATCTATACACAAACATATATGGAATCTGAGCGTAAATTACAAACTATTAAAAATTAATATTACAAATTATTAAAATTTGTAATATTGCAATATTATTAAATTTGGAATATTTGAATTTTATATTGAAATTCAATTTCACAATTAAAGTACAATATAAGATACTAATCAGAACTAATAGCTTAGTTTTCAGAATGAACTAATTTCACTTTTGGTCCGACGACTTTAGAGGTTCTATCATTTTTGATGCACAACTTTAAATTTTTTCAATTTTGGTGTCTAATTTTGTTGTTTTTATCAATTTTGGTCCTTTCGACCAAATTGACAGCGAAATATTGCCGAATTTTACATTTTAGGGGCAAAATCGTCATCCCAAAGAAAAATATTCAATATCTAAACAAAAGAAAAATCATGTTAAGAGAAATATAAGAGTTTGGCAATCGTCGATGCTATAAATCTCATAGATCTGTGTCTAGTTTCTGTCCGTCTTCTCTCAATTATTCTCATCGATCAAACACCTATAGATATGATTTTAGAGTGATTTTGTTTAGATATTGAAGATGTTTCCTTAGGATGACGATTTTACCCCTAAAAATATAAAATCCGGCAATATTTCGTCGTCAATTTGGTTGAAAGGACCAAAATTGATAAAAACAACAAAGTTAGGCACCAAAATTGAAAACTTTTAAAGTTGTGCACCAAAAGTGATAGATCCTCTAAAGTCGTGGGACCAAAAGTGAAATTAATTCTTTCTAGAATCATCTTCACTCTCACTCACTGCACCTCTGCATCTCGCCTCTCTTAAGCTCACAAACTAAGAACTCTCTAGACACTCCTCACAATACTTAAGCTAAGTTTAGTGATTTACACACTACATATTTTCCATTGGAGATCTACCTCTACTGCTTTTTTTTTTCTTTTTTTTTCTTTTTTTTTTTTTTTTTTTAAGTTAGGGTTCTTTCCTAGCTAATCTCTGAGAAGCAATCCAGAAATTCCAACTGTCTGAGTGGTTTTGTCAGGTATATTAGATTGAAGAAGATGAATATGGCCTACCAAATCTGGAAAATTCAAGACGCAGGTTCGTTTGATATATGGGTCTGTTCTGATGGTCATAAAATTGGTAATATTTTTCTCAAATTGAAAAATTTTCTGGTTTAAGGGGATAATTGCATGCATTCGAATCTGGATAGTCCACTGTAAACTCCTTCATCTCATCTTGAATCTATATATATTTTTAATAGATTTAGTTTAGTTCTCTCATACAATGATCGTATTCACCATTCATCAACTCCAAAGCTATGAATTTTTACGGCTTATCTTATGGGCAGCCATTGATGATCTAATTAAACCTCGGTTTGCAGTGAAATTATCCACGTTAGATTCGGCTTGAACCTTCGGATCAACTGTTTCCTGTTCATGTTTGTGTTGTTGTTGTTTCAGCTATTATTATTGGTTATGTAGGCTGGGTTGATGATGATTTTTCTACAGTTCATCGGGATGGAGGGACCCGACCCGGGGCAAACTCCGGTCTGCAGCCATGGCGGTATGGTTTCTCCATTACCAAATCTGAGCTTATTTTCTGCTCCATATAATTTCAAAAATTAAACTCCATATAGGCATTTTGCTCATAGTATTTTAATTATGTTAGAGTCACTTGGAACTGCAACTCTTGATTTTGGAGTACATATATATAGTTGGTTTGATGTATTTGGAAACTGTGTCTTAATTATTAATATTAATAATATTTTAAAATACAATTGTCACCGTGCCTCTATCTCTGTCAATCCATCGGTTCCATTTCCAGAAGGTTCACTTTACCTTCATCGTCTCTGCGCTTTCTGTTTCGTCACTCTGAAACTCCACCATTTTAGCTCGAATCCTACTCCATACCACACAGCTCGCTTGCGATTCTTGTCAATCGCAAGAGCATATGGTCGTATATCATAGTTTTCGTGGTTTTTCAAGCCCTATTTTAGATGTGTAGATTGTAGCAGTTTCCTGAAATTTCTAAGTTGAATCTTGCAGCCAAGGTAAGTTTTATACTATATCATTCTATTAATTTATATTCTATGAAACAAATCATCCTAATTTTATTAGATACAGGCAACCCTAACAGTTTAAGCTTGATTTCTACATGATCAATACATCCCAAGTCCTCTTAGAGTATGGATCTTTGGAAATAGTGACTTGGAAAGCACATGCAGATCATTTTTGTGTATGAATTTCTTACAAAGGTGGGTATGTTCACTATTTGGAGGTGTATTTGCTGGAGTGGCCGTTTTATACTCCGATTACCTACAAAATACTTTCAATTTCTTGGTGGAATTGCTCATAGCATTAGACTTTCTTAGTAATGATAGTATGATACTAAAAGTTTTGTCCCACCTTTAATGTGCATGATTGAAATTTTATCCAAGTTGAATTATCAGGTTAAATTTTATCTACTTGTACTTTCTTTTGTCGCACATCTAATTGCATAGTGTTTCACATCTACTTTATATATGTGATACTTGTATGTTTTGTCTGTTGTGTGTCCTGCTTATTTACTAACATCACATCCTAGTTTTTGCAAATGATGAAATTTACTTTTGATGCTATATACAGAATACTTATTAAGTTCTCTACTATGGACCGCAGAATGCTTACCTAACACTGAGTAGGAGTCTGAATATGGATCTTTGAAATTATCACGTGTATCTTTAAATTGAAGTTCATGTACCCCAATCACAATGAGCCTGGGTTGCTACTATCCAATCACTTATCCATCTCAGAACGATTGAATTGCAAGTAGAAAACTGTAGTTTTTGTTTCAATTTCTATTGTTTGTACTTTGAAGATATACTATTAGAGTCTTTATGACACACTACCATTTTGATTTCTACCTTTGCAACATAGTTCATACTATTATTCTACTCAGTATTTAAGTGCTTACTGTGTGTCATGCAGTTCAGAGTAACATCCCTTTGTAGTTTTTTTTAAATGATACTGCCAAATTCTGATTTTATATACAGAATATTCCCTAAGTTGTCTATGCTGAAGAGCACAGCATGCGTACGGAACACTGAGTAGTAGTAGGATGTATTGATCTGTTTATTTATCACACATGTATTTTGAAATTTAAGTTGATGTAAACTTTGCACAATTTGTTTTTCCAAGTTTCTACTTTTACATTCACAGTACACACTATTACAGACTGGGTTGCTGATATCAATATGGTACCTCATCTTTTCTTTCACAGTATAATATATACTATTATAGACTTGATGACACTTTATAATTTTGCTCCCTACATACTTTTGACATAGTATGTGACTACATTCTCTTCTTAAGTAATTACTGTTTCTTGTAAGTATAAAGTGTAGAGTTAGATATCTATTTCAATTTTCAAGATTCTTCTCCTCTAATTATTTGGAGTCGTCTTCCTTAGCTCGCCAATGTTCTCCTCTGCAACTGAGATCAGAAACTTGGTTCAATTTGATCTCTGTCAGCTGGACATGTTCTATAGATGGATCAAGGCTTGTTTTTACATTCTCATATATTGGTACTCTTTATAGTTAGTATGAGTTCTCTCATCAAGAAGAAATTCAAGAAAACTGCATCAATACAGAACCTGGGAGAACAGATACTCACCATGCTCGGAATCTAAAAGCTAAGTTTGATTAAACCTATTTTAATCATTACCTACTACATATGCCAGTAATTACATTTCCAGATCTATGTTTAATTTAGATCCTTAATTTCTAAACAGTTAAGAATTTTTTATTGTCTATAAATCTTGGGTTTTTCTAATTGGCATGTGTGATTTAAACTACATTTTCCTCATATCTATGCCAACGATTACATTTCCAGATCTGTGTTTAATTTAGGTCCTCATAATCTAGAGGGTTATCCTGTTGTCTATAAATCTTTGGTTTTTTCTAATCGGCATGTGTGATTTAAACTACATTTTCCTAATATTTATACCAGCAATTACATTTCCAGATCTGTGCTTAATTTAGGTCCTTAATATCTAAACAGTTAAGAATTTCTGATTGTCTATAAATCTTGGGTTTTTTCTAATCGCATGTGTGATTTAAACTACATTTTCCTCATATCTTCAAAATAGATAGATGCATGTTTGATATATCATCAAATCTGAGACTTTAAATTAGTATTAGCTTCTCCATTCCATGATTTTTAACTTTGATTGTAGTTCATAGTTGTTTTCCGAGAGATTTGTGCGATTCTAGATGATTCATTTTAGAATCGCAGTTGGCTTTCTTTTTTATTTTTTGTTTTTACTACTATATATTGATATATTGACACATATCCTACGAATTTCTAAATTGGTTTTTGAACTACATCCCCAGCTTAGAGATGGAAGAAGGAACAGATTCATCCACA